ACGAATGGATAGAGAAAAGATGTGGAAGGTATTACACCTTCCCTGTGGTGTTTTTGGGATGTCAGTCAACAAACGTTCATTGAATGTATCGTGTGTGTGTAGAGCATCTGTTAGGGGCTTTGAGATTAGGAGATAAAAACACACTCCAGCCCCTTGCCTTTAAGAAGCTTGGAATCCGGTCTGTAGAGTGCACAAAACGAACACCCGAGCATTTGAAACAGCTGGCAGAGCAGGTTGAGCAAGCCAGGGCACACCGGGTGCAGGCTGCCCCTTCCCCCCACACGATCCACGGACTTCCATTGGGTCAGGCTTCCCAAGAACTTGCTGCCCTGCTCGGGGTGGCCAGGCACGCAGAAGGCGAGGGAGAGTCAAGGGACAGGCGGCCGAGGGGCCTGTGCAGAGGAGAGCCAGCCGGGCACCAGTGGCAAGCCCGGACTGCAGAGACTACGGCTAGTGGAGGGGAAGGTTGCTGAGTGGTCTTTTTCTCTGATGGTCTCATGCAGAACCTCGGGATTTAGGTATGTGGTTTGCAGTGCACGAGTCTCCCGTCCTCTCACCCGACCTCTGTCCTCACGTGATATTTATTCGTGGTCGAAGAACTGAACAGCTCAGAGCACTGCTGTCCACGTGTGGCTCTCCGCACAGGTCACGGGGAACCGCACTTTCCCTGCCTCGGCTGTGTCCACCGCATCCGGCAGAGATTTGCAGACATAACATCATTAATAGCGACGTGTATTTTTACAAGCTTTACCTCTTCAACACCCTCCACTCCGATATCCCCCATTGGAAATCATAGCTTCTTTAATGTCCTGCGGCTGTGTGAAAAACAGGAATTTATGTAACAAGCCCTGCGCAGCAAACCTTTTCCTGTTCGGAAAAAAATTTTTTAATTGTTGGCAAAGTTAGGAGACAGCTCTGTTGCTCAAAGAGCGACCTGAAATGTCCTCTTAGGAAAATATGTAGCATAATGTTTTGATAAGTAAGGGATTGTTCTACATCCACTCCCCGCCCTCCCCCCGCTTTCTTTTTGGTACATCTAAGTGGTAAGTTAGTGTATGTCCCATCCGAGCTAGTGAATGCTTCCTGAACTTTTTAAAGATTTCATCATGACAGATTCTGCAGTCTTGTTAGAAATGTCCCCCAGGGACGTCCCTGGTGGCGCAGTGGTTAAGAATCCGCCTGCCAATGCCAGGGACATGTGTTCGAGCCCTGGTCCGGGAAGACCCCACGTGCCGCGGAGCAACTAAGCCCGTGTGCCACAACTGCAGAGCCTGTGTTCTAGAGCCCGCGAGCCACAACTACTGAGCCCATGTGCCACAACTACTGAGCCTGCACTCTAGAGCCCGCGAGCCACAACTACTGAAGCCCACGCACCTAGAGCCCGTGCTCCACAACAAGAGAAGCCACCACATTGAGAGGCCCGTGCACTGCATCGAAGAGGAGCCCCCGCTCACCGCAACTAGAGAAAGCCCGTGCGCAGCAACGAAGACCCAACGCAGCCAAAAAAAACCCCCAGAAAACAAAAAGAAAGGAATGGCTTCCAGGCAAAAATAAGATTAAAAAAAAAATGTCCCCCAATTGCAGTTGCAAATGATCTGATCTAATTATGTGAATCATAGAGCTGTGCCACCCCCTCCCCCAGGCAGTGCAGACAGCCAGGAAGCCACTATCTAGGAAGATCTTCCCCCTTTATCAGTTACTAAATGTGACAGGGACAGGAGTCAAGCTTCCTTTCCTCCAGAGATTTCATCGTCGCTTATCTGTGTTTTCTGTTCAAAGAACAAAATAGTCATGATGGAATATTGGGAGCACACAGTATGTGCGTGCGTGCGTGTGTGTGTGTGCGCGCGCGCACACGCGCACACGCATGTTAGTAAAACCTTCCCAAAGGGTTTGGGGAATCTTATGGGGATGAAATGGGACATTGGGGAATTGCAGTGCTTGGCCACTTTTAGAGGGTTCTTGTATGTCCACAAAGTCCTCAAAGCCGGTCTTGAGTTGGGGATAGATCTGTAGGTGAGAAGGAAGAGGAGAATCTTGGCGACAGAAGAAAACCCTCACTGCCATCCACTTACACACCTGCCCAGCGTCCAGCCTGGAAGTCCCCATTCAGGGCCGTGGCTGACCCACACTCGCCTGGGCCTGGCAGAAGGGCTCATCACATAGCTGCTATGTTGCAATCCTTGGGTGGAATGTAGTACAGAGGGTCAGGGGGCGTTTTGAAATGTGGATTTCTCAGCCTTGACTGTCCGGCCTCACTCTGACTTTTGCATCTCCTTTTAGAAAGTGAGATTTTTTCCCTTTGTTTTCTGCCTCCTTTTAATGAGGAAAATTGTGAACTCATAGTCTGTGTTGAGTCCCGGCCTGCTCTGCTGTGTGCCAAGGCTTTGTTCTGGCGCAGTGATTGGCACTCGAGCATCTGCGTGCCATGGCGATGGCATGAGGGTGTGGGCGTCGTGGCTGCATCCCGGACGACCACAAATCCAGCCAGAGCCTTTCTGTGGTCAGGGAGAGGGGGCCGCAGTGGTTCGGGGGGCTCGGTCGGCTGAGCCTTGCATTCAGTTGCAGAGGAAGCCAGGGAAGTCTGGGGGCCACGCACGCAGCGCACGCAGCCCTGCTCCAGGTCCCCAGGTCCCCAGGTCCCCAGGTCCCCGCCCCTGGACTTGGGATCAGGGCCCTGCTGCTTTCCCTGTCCTGTGCTGGGGCAAAAAAATCTATCAGAGAAGCTCCCTCCTCCTCGGGAGCCCCCCTTTCCTTGTCCACATGTCCCAGAGGCTCTCCAGACGCTGTCAGTCTCGCTGTGTGTCCAGTAGGCGAATTGTATTCGGGCTTCCTTGTTTACCGCCTGGCTTCACGGCTTCTGCTGGAGCTTGCGACTGTCTCTGGCACCTGCTGCAGCGTGTTCCGAGTGGAGTGGTGGGTTTGTGTTTGTGATACCCATAAGCTCCTACCGACACCCCAGTGACTAGGAGGGGGGAAATGGGCTCAGAATGGGCGGTGCCTTGGGCCCCTCCTCCCCATCCCCCAACCAAGTTGGGATCTAACACCTTTCTTCTTGGTGACCGCTTACCATGTTGCACACACCACTGAGCATTTGACCTACCTTATCTCGTGGAATCCATAGAACAGCCCCAAAGGGGCTATAAGGTACATGGGGGCCAAGCCGTTTCCCAAGGTTTGTAGCCAGTGAGCAGCAGAGCCACCTAAGTGCTCCAAAGACAGTTGATTTTCTTTACTAACTGTCCTAGGGGGCATGCGATTTAGTTGTGGAGCCGTACTCAGTGGATCAAAGCCACCAGCTCTCTGTCCTCTCCGCCACTCTGTCCCTCCCAGACCGGCTTTTTGGCCAGAGTGTAACCTCTGACGGGTGTCAGAGGCTGAGTTAGGTGGTGCGTGCTACTGGTTATTGCTGGGAGGAGAGGGTTGTGAACAATGTTGGAATTTAAACTTTTTCTTTTCTTTTTTCTTTTTTTTCTTTTCTTTTCTTTCTTTTCTTTTCTTTTCCTTCCTTCCTTCCTTCCTTCCTTCCTTCCTTCCTTCCTTCCTTCCTTTCTCTTTCATTGTTTTTGGCAGTTCAACTTTCTAAAATTAAACAACAGCAGCCCAGTTGTCCTTATATTCACCTATATCTGCCTAATGGACTTTAAGGATGTAAATGAATATATGTCTTACTAGTTTTCAGGCTTTTAATTCTTGACTAAGAATATATCCTGCTTCTTTTCTTTCCTTTCCGTGACCACATGGGTCCCATAATATAAAACTTCTCACTTTGTGTAAGTGGCAAATGTGCCATCCGAAGAGAATTTGCAGTAGTTCTAGGCGTGATAGAGTGGAAAGGGGTTTTGATAGCACTTTGTTGTGGAGTGCTATTTGCATAGCAAATCCAAGTGGTTTTAAAACCAGTTCCTGTAATTTCCCTGCAAAATAGAGCTATATAAAAGAAGGTGTTTATTGGGCCTCCCTGGTGGCGCAGTGGTTGAGAGTCCGCCTGCCGATGCAGGGGACGCGGGTTCGTGCCCCGGTCCGGGAGGA